TCACTGGAATTACCAATCCAAAGGGGTTCCAGAGATCTTCAGCTCATGGGGGTCCCTGGAATTACGAATCCAAAGGGGCCCCAGAGATCACATGGGGGTCCCTGGAATCACCGATCCAAAGGGGTCCCAGAGATCATCAACCTGCAAAGGTCACTGGAATTACCAATCCAAAGGGGTCCCAGAGATCTTCAACTCATGGGGGTCCCTGGAATCACCGATCCAAAGGGGTCCCAGAGATCATCAACCTGCAAAGGTCACTGGAATTACCAATCCAAAGGGGTCCCAGAGATCTTCAACTCATGGGGGTCCCTGGAATCACCGATCCAAAGGGGTCCCAGAGATCATCAACCTACAAAGGTCACTGGAATTACCAATCCAGAGGGGTCCCAAAGGTCATCAACCCATGGTTGTCTCATATCACCATCCCAAGGAGGTCCCAGAGCTCATTCTCATCAGCCCACGAGGGTCACTGGAATCACCAGTCCAAAGGGGTCCCAGAGCTCATCAGCCCACAGGGGTCTCAGATCACCAATCCAAGAGGGTCCCAAAGCTCATCAGCCCATGAGGGTCACTGGAATCACCAATCCAAAGGGGTCCCAGAGATCAACAACCCACAAAGGTCACTGGAATTACCAATCCAAAGGGGTCCCAAAGCTCATCAGCCCACAAGGGCCATTGGAATCGCCAATCCAAGGTGATTCCAGGGAAACCAAGGGGGTCCTTGGGCTTTCCCACTCCAGGATTTCCCTCCTCCACCCCCAGCACTGCTCCCTTCTGCTCCATCAGATCCCTGGAGCAGCCCCACAGTCTTGAGGGGCAGGAATCCCTCTCCACCCCAAAAAAAAATCCCAGACAAAGCCTCAGCATCTCCACACAGTCACTTTAATTAATGGACAGGTCAGCATCCCACAGACACTGCTGGGACAGTGCTACATTCCAGGAGGTGTGGGGGCTTGGAGTGTCCAAAATCCTCCCGGTGGGTCATCCCAGTTCTCCTCCTCCTCCTCCAGCCAATCCCAAAGACCTTCAGCCACATCTCCACACCCTCGGGATGTTCCCGAGAGGGCAGAGGGAAGGGCCAGGAATCCACACCAGGGCTGGGAGTGCACACTCTGCCCCACCACTGGTGACCCCCAGTGCCAAACCTCCGATCCCTGATCCCCCCACACTGCTGCCAAGGAAAGAACCAGTTCCTGGGGTCCAGTGCCAGTGATCCCCCCACTCTGGACTGGGGGGTGTGCCTGGGGGTCTCCAGCATCAGTGATCCTCCGTGTCCTGAGCAGGGGGAGTCTCCTTGGGCGTCCTTGTTCCCTGTGCTGGGGGGTTTTCCCCAGGGGTCTTCTGTGCCTGGGAGGTCTTCCCAGGGGCTACCTGTACCTTGGGGGTCTCCCCAGGGGTCTTCTGTGCCTGGGAAGTCTTTTCAGGGGTTCCCTGAGCCTTGAGGGTCTCCCCAGGGGTCTTCTGTGCCTGGGAAGTCTTCTCAGGGGTTCCCTGTGCCTTGGGAGTCACCTCAGGGGTTCCCTGTGCCCTGGAGCTATGGGTACTCTGTGCCTCGGGGGTCTTCCCAGGGGTCTTCTGTGCCTGGGAAGTCTTTTCAGGGGTTCCCTGAGCCTTGGGGGTCTCCCCAGGGGTCTTCTGTGCCTGGGAAGTCTTCTTAGGGGTTCCCTGTGCCTTGGGAGTCACCTCAGGGGTGCTCTGTGCCTGGAGGGTCTTCCCAGGGGTTTCCTGTGCCTTGGGAGTCACCTCAGGGGTGCTCTGTGCCTGGAGGGTCTTCTCAGGGGTTCCCTGTGCCTTGGGGGTCTCCCCAGGGGTTTTCTGTGCCTTGGGGGTCTCCCCAGGGGTGCTCTGTGCCTGGAGGGTCTTCTCAGGAGTTCTCTGTGCCTGGGAAGTCTTTTCAGGGGTTCCCTGAGCCTTGGGGGTCTCCCCAGGGGTTTTCTGTGCCTGGGAGGTCTTCTCGGGGGTTCCCTGTGCCTTGGGAGTCACCTCAGGGGTTTTCTGTGCCTCGGGGGTCTCCCCAGGGGTGCTCTGT